GGCGGACCAATGGTTGGTGGAGAATCCTGGCAAGTCCAGTTCCTTGGTTTCACCGAGCTCGAGCGCTTGAAACGCGCAGCGAGCGGCAGCTCGTCTTCTTGGCACGGGCCGCCGATGAAGTGAGTGATCTCCACGTTGCTCGCCTTCTTGTACTTCTGGCAGACCTGGTCGGACGAACGGACGAATCCCAGCCGTGGGTTTCGATTGGTTCCTGCATGATTTTTTTGCCACCTGGCCATGGGTCAAAATCCCGCAGTCAACATCCCAATCCCCACTAAAATACTAAAATGGGTGGTGAACCTACCTCAAAAATGGTACCATTGGTTTTGACCCACTGCCACCTGGCGGTAGTTTGCCCTTGCAGACCTGGCGAAAACTACCCTCCTCTTGGATGACCACCCTGCCATCTAGGTGGCTATCCCCAGTTTTCGTCGGTCCGCTAAGTGGGATTTCTACATGTAGCCCACTGAACGGGATATATTCATGTTAACTACCCTTCCTCAACCACGTGAAGGTGGGCTTCCTTCACAAGTACCTACCAAATCAGAGGGCCCTCAAAACAGATCACATACCCACTTGTTTGAACAGCTATTGTGCAAACAACCTTTTTTTGGCCTCCCTACAGCAGCCGGGTCCGGATTTTGAGAACCCATGGGCCCGATCCGCGATCGCCTCGCCTCGCGCAGGGTTCTGTCCACTAAGCCACGGTCTGGAGGCGCATCCAGAGGTCTGGTGAGGTTCACCTCACATCGGGAAAGAACCCAAAACTCTGAATATGGGTCGGTCTTTCTTTGAGGCTACCCTTTTTCTCATGGTGAGGACCTAATTGGATTGGGGCCCAGCCCCCTACTAGAGGACCCCTGACAACCATAGGACTTTGGGGGTGTTCTAAAGGGAGACACTGCAAGACCGCCCATTGATGCCCCCCCCCCCCCGGCGGCCATCCTGTAATACATTTCCTGTTGTTCCCCACTCCAAAGGCATCAAACAACGCCTTCAGGCTTTCCACGCAACTCTTGCGACTCTTGCGACCAGGCCACAGCCACCACGTGGTCGTTGCCACCTACGTGTGAAACCAAAACTGGCCGCAGGCCCAAACATGCAACTGCACAGGCCCCGAAAGGGCTCTCGGCCGCGCATTTCCTTGGGAGTGTCTCCAAGCCATCCGTGGTAGGTTCCTTTCGGTTTACTTTTGCCAACCTTTCCGCAAAAGGGTGCCTTTCGACTCGAAGAAAAGCGCAACTCACGACGTCCAACCAAGAACTTAAAGGCTCCAGGTCCAACGGACCGTTCAAATTCTCGACTTAGCCCGACTTTTGTGGATCTGTGTCTCAAGCGTACCTCCGATCTGCACATGAACCCGCACGGGGGGTGGTGAAAAATATGGATTTTGGGGACATGGCGCCGCCTGGTGCCGCCGTTTAATGGGAACACCGAAAAGGGCCCCTACTTCTGACAAACCTTCACATGACTTGGGTGCACAGCCGAAAAGGGGGGACCCCTTTTGGATGCGTTTGAAGGGAAGCGAAAGAAAGCCTTCCTAGTTTTGAGAACCGCCCAGCATTAGTGCGGTAGCACCAACACCCACCCCAAACATGATACGCTTGCTGGAATAACTGAGCTGGAGGCCACACCACGCAAGTCGAGCCGCAACTCTCTGGCTCATCAGACTCCAGCATGATGGTGCAGGGAGCCTTCAATTCCTTAGTGTGCGGAACTCAACAAGCGCACGCATTGCAGTTGAGCAAAGTATGACAAAGTGCTCCAATGAAAAATGGGAGCCTTCCGTTCTTTCCCTATCCGCACAAAAAAAAAGTATTTGTGAAAATAGGGTCACCCAAAAAATGGGTGGTTTCCCTTTGGTGTCCCTTTAGAACCACCCCAAGACAGTAGCCTCGAACTACACCCACAAATAAATGTATGGGGAATGCAACTCTGTAGGGTGATACGGTCCCCCCTTCCACACATCACTTGCAAGGCCAGTATCTGCAAAGGCTTCCGCGAGTGCATCACTCGACACGCCTACGACTGCGGGGCGTGCGCGGAGTGCGAGGCGTGGTCTGCTGGCATGTCTCATCTTCGAACGTGTTTCTCTGTGTGCGTGCCTGGCTTGCCGTCATAGAAAGCAAACAACCAAACAACCTACCCTCCGGTCATTTCCAAGGTAATGAGCAGTCCCGCTCGCGAGGCTTCCCACATCATGCAGAAGCCATGCGACATCTCCTTGGGTCCCACTGGCAACGCATCTTGTTGGGCGAAACGGTCAGCCGTTGCCACCAAATTGAATGCACCGCTGTTCTGCCAACATCAGGTCATGCTGGATTTGTCTCAAAATCGGGACCCCCCAAATTTGGTGTTCCACTTGCCCTGTAAACCAACCCCAAAAAGAGCACCGAGCCTCAAAGACATGCCCCTTGATGGGGAATCAGACTTTCTTCACAGGTCCATGGCAGGCCTTTGCCAATCCCCCCCCCCCCCACCAACTCCTCGAACTGACATCTGCCAAATCAACTCAAAAGCCTGACAGGGGAGCTGCTGCTCAGGTTGGGGGCTTTTGCGCCCCGAAGACTCTTCAAAGCAAATTGAAAAGTCCCTGGCACAAGTTGCTCAACATTGCTTCGGCCCCCCCTTCTCCTTGAAATTTCCAGAAACCCAGTCTGTGTGAGGGGGCCCATTCCTTCCTATTTTGAGACACCCGCGAAATCCGAAGACCACCGGCGCCTTCGAGCGCCTCCCGCGGCGCCACGCGCCAATGTCGGCCCTGCAGCGTGAGGCAAAGCCTCGCGTCCATCTTCCCGCGGACCTCGGTTTGCAAACCGAGGTCCGGACGTCGGAAGTCGATTCCGACCGCAAAGAGGAAAGCCGGGGAAAGACCGAACCAGAAAAACCTGGGGAAACCTGGGAAAAACCTGGGAAAACCTGGGAAAACCTGGGAAAACCTGGGAAAACCTGGGAAAACCTGGGGAAAACCTGGGAAAAACCTGGGAACAACCTGGGAAAAACCTGGGAAAACAAAACCCAGGTCCGTCGGGCCCGGAGATCAATGTCCCAGGGTTACTCAGTCTGGAAACCATGGCAGGGACATGAACAGGATTTGTTGGACAATGAAGAGGAAACAAAGCCTCCAGTTTCGAAATGGGCAAGGAAATAAAGACACATTCGCAGTTGCATGTGGTCCAATCCAACATCCGCGCTGGCACGACGCGCAAGCGCCTGGTGCTCAAATGAACAAAAGTAGGGAACCGGTTGTGTGCCCACAACCCGCCCACATGGTCATACAGGTTTCTAGGGGGCTGTCAGTAGCCTGCATAAAACCAGTAGAACCACCTCCCCGCTTCCCAACCAACTTGGGGGCCAAAAAGGGTTCCTTTTCTTTTGGGTGCCTTTGGGGGTCGGCCCCTGACAGGAATATTCAGTCTACCCCATGAATATGTATGCATATATGTATATGGGTGTGTCTTTACCCTGAGAATTCTGAGGGCCCGACTCTTTGCAACATTCCTTCAGAGTCGATGGGGATGGTCAGCTTTCCCTCATCGGGCTCGACCTCGCACTGCTCACTGGATACAACATCTCGATTTCCAGAAAGCGGCCGGCCCCTGCCTTTTAGAACGTAGAGCATTTCGGCTTAGTCATCCCGCTTGCTTTTGCTTACCGACACAAGACCAGCTGCATCATCTACTCTTCCACATTCGTTTCAGCAAGATTCCCATTCAAGAGTTCCAAGGAACCCCAATCAGTGGGGAGACCCTTCTCCCCAAACCGACTACCAGGTTCACAACCCATACAGGTACTGTGCTCAACAGGTCCGCGAGCGCGAGGCGTAGCCGTCTTCCAGTATTGTCTCACCTGCCCTGTTGGCAGATGTTTGGAGTCAAAGCGGGGCTAGACTTGGGTCGTTAAAGTCACATCCCCGCCACCTAAATTGTGGTTCAAAGGGACACAGCCCCCCGAAGTAGTTTGCGGCATGCTAAAGGACACCTGCCAATAGTGCACAGACCCCTTTCGGCACACTCTGTGTATTCATCATCTCAACGAAACAAACCAACCGCGGACGTCAGTCACCGATCCAACGCGGACGGCCTGTGTAATGAGGAAAACGCCACGAATCCAGTGCTCGTAGCTGCTAGTATGCCTCTCAGGGGCTGTGGGAAACTGAGCCAATCTCGGATAGTCGAGTCCTATCGGCATGGTATTCCCTGCACAAAGTGGAAACACTTCTCCGAAGTGGCCCTCTCTCTTTTTTTTCTCTCTCTGTCTCTCTCTCTCTCTCTCTCTCTCTCTCTCTTTTTTCTCTCTCTTTCTCTCTCTCTCTTTTTTCTCTCTCGCTCTCTTTTTTTTTTTCTCTCTCTCTCTCTCTCTCCTTGATCAGCTAAGGGCAAACTGGAGCAGGACAAGTGCCGTCAAAACTGGGCCACCCGGGTCGGCGGTTTGCGAAGGACCCCACGAAAATATGCGTGAAAGTAGATGGCACGATTCCTTGGGTAAGTGAAGGGATCACTAAATTGAAATCAGGGGATTGTGCCATCTTTCACCCCCTTCTGACTGGCCCATGCCAAGTAAGCGAACAAAAAGTGGTTGCTGGGATTGCAGCTCTTTGCCAATGTGTGGGGAATCCCTCTGACACAAAAAAATGGCCGGCTTCCTGCTGGTGTTTTGTTTAACTTTCTTGGTGGTAAAACCAACAAAAACATGCTTGTGTTCTGGCGTCCCTTTTGGTCCCCCCCCAAAGAAAAACAAATAAAGAAGGGCACACCCATCATGTACGAGAAGGAAACCTGCATGAAGCCAAGGGAACCAGCATGAAGTTATTGTCCATTATTGGCTTTGAGTATATACGTCAAAGCAGGGAAATGGGCCCCACAATTCGGCTTCACCTCAAACCAACCCCAGAAAGGTTTCCTGGCAAACACACACCATATAGGGAATCAGCCAAACACGACGAACACCGCCGTTTAACAGCCAAGCACATGTAGTTCAAACACCTTCCCAAACCAAACAACCAAACAAACACAAAGGGCAACCAACAAATAGCCATTAAAAACAAAAAAACATGTTTTTTCTTTTAAAAAATGTGGGTGTGTCTCAAAATAGGGGCCCCCCAAATTGGCTTGGGTTTCCCTTTGGGTGTCCCATTTAATGCCACCACACAAGGTTGGTACCAACTCAAAAAACCATCAAAACTTCCGACAGACCCATGTCCACTCAATGGCGCTTCGGCGCATGGCGCCATCCTCGCCAAAAGGCTACGACTTGAACAGAAAAAGACGTGGGTCGCAAAAACACACCGAAATGCGGCTTCTCCAAAAAAGGCTTATTCAAAAAAAGAGAAACAGCACGGGGTGTCCAGGATCCAAACAACACGCCAAAACGGGGCTTCTCCAAAACGGCAGTCCTGAGCATGGAGGGCATGGTTGCCAAGCTCCTTGCCAGCTCGGCCGAAAATGCCTCATGGGAGGCGATCACGCACCTGAACGATATCGGAAAATCGGAAAATCGGACCCGGACTCGGAGCGGTGCGTTGGGATAGGGCTGCGGTTTCATTGTGGGGTTTTCGGTGCACCACCCATTTTAGAGCCTGTTTTAGTGGGGATTGAATCGAACGTTCACGGGGGGAACGAAATTTGGCTTTTGGCCCATGGCCATAGATGTTGCGAAAAGAAGGGCTACTTGATCTTTCGATGGTTTGGGGCGGTTTGGGACGGTTTGGGGCGGTTTGGGCTGATACTTCGATGGTTTGGTATGGTTTAAGGGAACGGCTTACTAAGCTGGCTTCGCCGTCGAAGCTGCAAAAGATGATCGACCTGTTGCCCAGGGGTGCTTGAAGCAACCCAGATTTTGTGCTCGCTTGGTTTTTGTGGCTTGATTTTGCTACCTCCCAAACCATCAAGCTGGATAAACCCAGAACGGGGACTTGCAAAGCAGGTGACAACCGAAGCACAAAGCACTTGCAGAGTCTATGTAGCAACCACTTTTTTGATGCATGCCATTCGTCAAAGTCATCTACGGCAGTGGGTCAAGGATAGGGTAACCCCAAAATGGGTTGCTCTGGTAAATGGGGTTTCATTGACTAAAACTTGCGGTGGGTATCCTGGTGACTAACTTTGACCCATAATCATATAACCAAACCTGGTACTTTGAAGAAGTTCCAAGACCTTCTCATCGGTCGTGGCTAAAGCCCGATTTCGGCCATCCGAAAAGACTCGCACGGAAGGAGATGGGACGTTAACACTCCCTCAGATGAACAGCCGGAAGCTCCCAGAAGAACGCTGTAAATGGAACCAAGTCTTCCAAAGGGGTTCTGGGAGCTTCCATGTTAGCCTGGGGGAGGGACTCTTGCTCGAAATGAAAGGCACCTTTTGTTGATTGGTGAAACTCACATTTTGGCTCTTGAAAGTTCGCATCCACCAAAAGGACTGGTTGATTGAAATCAAAGACTGTGTTTTGTTAGCCGCTGGTATTTGAAGGGAAGACGGAAAGAACACCAAGAAAAAGACCAGGGGCGCTAACATGAACCTCTTCTGTCCTCCCCAACTAGGCAAAAAACACAACTGCATGAGTGGACGGGCTTGAAACTGGCCAAAGCTGAGCGATCGTTTCCGGAGGACACTGCCAAGGTTCTGGATATCATGATGGTATCATCGTGATCCAAACTGCTTGCGGCAATTTATTTCGACGACCGAAAATGGAAAGTGGTAGCGATAGCCGATAGCGTGATTGCAGCTTCGGCTACAGTCCCACTTAGCCTCCTGTGGAGCTCACCCCGCAAACTACAGCCCAAATCGACAACACTGTGGATGGACGAAATCCTGCACTACTTTGAAACCATGAGAAACCATGGTTCCCTGGTATTTACAAGGGAATCAGCATTCCAGGGCTTCTTAGGTGGTGCAGGATTTCGTCCATCCACAGTAGTCAAGGGAGAACCTTTGCCCCATCCAATAAGCGAGGTGCCCCACGTCGATGAGCGCGGCGATCCTGGGTAGGCATCAAGAGAAATGCCACTCGCAAGAAATGCGCGTAAAGCCAAACCGACAGAAGCTCGAAGAAGCCAACGGACAAGAACCGAAATAACTTCTGAAGCTTGACATAGTCCAGTGCCACGGTCAAAACACTCCCTTGAATTGGCAGTCCCCACATCGAAAGGACAAAACAACCCATTACAATGGTTGTCTGAAATCTTTGATGGAATTGAACGATGATGCAGGGACCCAATCGCCAGGCCTTCTGAGACTCTTGCTGGGGTCGGACCATGTTTAGTGTGTAACCCATCAAACAAAAAAAGGGGAACGCAACTTGAACTTGAGATCCATTTAACACCTCGAAGCCAGGGAAGACATATACAGTTAGGAGAAAGTGCATAGCCCAATTCCATCATTTTGGTTCAGTCTTGCCCGTTCCTTACCCTCATGGGAATATCTATCTACTTTCACCCCGTACCCAACAAACACAAGGACAGTCTGGCCTTGGTCGCAGGTTCGCATTTTGGACAACACCCTCCCCACACCCATTGGACCCGAGGGTAGGAATTTGGTCGCACAAAAAAGCAACTCTACCTGGGCTGCCCTCAGATCCCCTGCTAAAAGCTTAACTTTTAGTGGGCGGAATGGAAATCCAACCACTAAACCAACTAAAAAGATCTAAAAAGCTAAGGGGCCGAGCCACCAAGATGCTTTTTCCCATGTCCGACCCTCGCGGGTTGGTCATCGAAGCAACCCTGCAACAGTGTTCCGCCAAGAACTTCCAGGATACAACCTAGGTAGCATCCCTCGGAAAAGTTACTCAACAAGGGGTCGGGTCGGGGGTTAAACAGGTTGTAACTCACTAGCAGCACAATTGGCTCCACCCCGGAGAGCTTGTATAAGTGGGTTGCAACATAGGCTACTAACAACTTACCAACTTGGCGAAACAGTGAAGCAGAAGGGAAACATCACTAAGGCAATAACTAAGTTTGGCCCAGTTCCCCTGGGTTCGTCTGCTTCCAAAGTCTTGGGTGAGCAACCCTCAAAGTCAACGGTCCTCATGTCGCAGCCATACCATTTAAACAGAGTTGGGGGGGTTCGAGTGGACCCAAATTGTTTGGCCCCCCCGAACCTCCCCCCCCCTCCCCCCGCGAACCCCCCCCGGCTCCCCGCCCCCCGGCAGCAGCCGAGCATCTCGGGCCCTGTGAAGGATGCCATGAGCCCGTGCCGCGTCGGCGGCACGCAGGTGAACTCCGACTTGCAGACGTTGCAGGTCTGGTGCCTCGCGAGACGAGTCGCGGGCAGGCCTGGGGAAACGCCTGGGGAAAACGCTCATTTAAAAAAAGAAAAAGAAGAAAAGGGCTGAACATGGGCGTGGCTCTTTTTTCAGGGGACACCAAAAATGTGTGGCTTCCTTTTGGCTTCCCTTGAAACCAACCAGTCAGGGGTACCCTCCAAAAAAGAGACCCAGATAGCGCCGTTTTGGAGGGTGGTATTTGGTTCAAAGGAGACGCACAGGCCTGTTACGGGCAAGGGACAAGCGTGAAACCAAAAGGCGACCATTCTTTTGAAGAGTCCAGTCCTTGCTGGAAACACCCAAGAATCTGAAAGGGACAAGCAATACTCCGCAATCCATTGCTGCCTGCAATGATGGAAGGCCCTTTCGGCAACCGTTCGGCAACAGTGTTTAAACATACTGGGACCCAGAAAAAATCGAACCCGAGTCAATCCGCGTATGTTGTATATATTGTATTCAAAGACATAAATGAAGAGATGTTCCTAGTATTGCAGAATGCTCATAATCCTAGCTCGGAGTACCACCAGAATAAAAGCAGGTATGAGACCGCCCAAAACCAATACAGCCAGCAAGAACTATTGGGGAGCAAATCCACTGCCAAACGCACAAAACCAATACCCTGGAAATGAGGATTCTTTTCAACCAACCAGCTGTTGTTCTCCAGAAAGAGGGATCCCCACGTTTCGGAAGGAAGCGACAAGGAGTTGGGATATAGCAAGAGTGGTTGAAGCAAAGGGGCCGTGCTTCTTCAAAATCAGCTTCCCAACATTAGAGACACATCTGTGTTTCCTCACGAATCAGCCCTGATCTGTTCAGAGTGAGGGCTCCACCTAGCTCCCCAACCCCTCAGCAAGGGTTCTTCTTGGAAGGAATTCTGGTCGAAGGGTTCCGAGAAGCTTTCTGGGGCACTCCCTGACTCTGGAACTGGGGCAGTCATCCACCAAAAGTTGCCCGATGGGGCCGTCATGTCTCTGACGGAGGGTGAAAGGGTGAGAAGCTTTCTGAGGGGCAGCTGGGGGGTTTAATGTTGACCCCTGATCAATAAACCCCCCAGTTCTTACTCAGGGGTCCTGATCTTTCTGGCAGAAAGGGATTCCCCGCTAATACAAAGGGACCCCCCTTGTTAAGTGCGGGGGGGGGGTCCGGGAAGAAAGGATTCCCCACTAAAAAAGAAGGAGACCTCACTTGCTGAGTGGATGGCCAGAAAAAGTTCAAACTGTATATTTACCACTAAAAAGGTCTTCCCAAAAAGTTTACAGTTCATGAACTCAGGAAGCGAGAGACAGTGGGGGGGTGATTAATCAGGGTCAACCAATTCAGCCGCTTCTGCCTCAGATCTCGATCGTAGAAGGCTGGATGCGTCGGCCTCGGAATGGGAGTTCACCGCACCCAAATGGGCCACTGACTCGCTTGACTGCTGCACCACAGCCTCCTGATCGGTTCTCAAAATGAGGGATGAGGGGACTCCCAGAAAGGTGGAACTTCATTTGTTACCCCGTGTAACATGGAAAAAGGAAAACCCAAAAAGACAACCTATAGTTGGTTCTTTGGGACGGTGGAGGTTCGGGCGGGCGTCTCAAGAGGAATTGGGGACGACAAGAGGAATGAGGGGTTCAAATCCCCAAATCGGAGACAAACCAAGCGATCTGGGCTACTCCAAGCCCCGTGAGCAAAAGCTCTGAGGGGCAGATTGAGGGTAACCTGAAACCTGAAACGAAAATGCAACGCTCTTGCGGAGTGGAACCCATGACAAACGCCTCACTTCAGGGAAACCCAGAAAGCGGTTCAGTTGAACAGGCATGGTTCAGTCATGTTCAAATGGGAGTGGGTGTTTTTTGGTTGGTAGTTGAAGGGCAACCAAAAGTAACCACGCCCCACCGCCACCACCGGGTCGTTTGGATTTGAGAAACATTCAAACTGACAACTCGCAGCCTTTTGTTCGGGTTGCTGACGTACGCCCATCCGAGCGGCTGAGTGACCAGTACCATGCGCTGCCATTGGCGGAGGCACTTCAGGTGGACGTACTTCCTCAGCGCAAAAATATCAGGATTCTGTAGTTACTCCTTGACCAACATCCCTACCACCAAGGGAAACTCACTTATGGCCATGTTTAGTGGACATTTAGAGACCTTTGAATATTTTCGGCCATCCAAGTGGCACCAAGAGAGGCTGCAAAAGTGTCTAGCTGATTTCACCCGAGGTCTGACAAAATCTCCCTTGACCATGCAAGATGCCAAAGAGATGATAGAAGCCGCCCTGCATGAGGTTTGGGGTTGGGAGCAGTCTCTAACAGACTCAATAAGATCTTTCGCTGACAATACATCGAAACAGCCACAACCACCGGAAGCCGTGATACTTGTTCACCGGAGCGCGGAGCCCATTTTGGGGGTTCTGACCCATTTTGACACAAACGGAAATGTGGTCAACACTCCCCCAGCGGGCTTTTTTTGGAAAAAAATGCCAAAAAGAGGCCTTTTTCTGGGCTTAGCCCGAAAAAGGCCGTTGGTTGGCCTTTGTTCCAAAAAAAGCCCCAAAAAATAAACGGGAGAATCTGAAACAAGGATCGTCTGAATCCCAAGTTCAAGTTTCAAGATGGCCTTCCCCAGCCCCGAGATACCTGGAACTTGGCTGTGCCTTCGCGGCGGGTTTCCCTCTAAACACCAGCCCACTCAGCATTTTCCTAGGTTGAGACATGCCTTTTTTGAAAAATCCGACCAGAGCACAGGACCCAAGATACCCATCGAGGTGGAGGCATGCACCTCACCTTGAGCCATGGTCAAAGTTTGAACATTGCAGCCACATGGGTATGGCTCAAAATTAAAGAGCTGGGGCCAACCGCGGATTTTAGTCTTGGGTTCCATTTACCAAGGTGCCATTGTGGTACCACTTTTTTGAGCCGCAGCCACATGGCAAGATTTGAGAGAGAGAGAGAGAGAGAGAGCCCCACAGGCTGGATTTGTTTGGCCAAACCTCATCTGACCCCTGGTTCTGGGAGGTGGTCATAGCCATTGGCTGTGTCTGCGAACTGGCTAAAGGAATTGTAGTGGTTTACTCTGATCCCATTCTAGTTCGTCAGCTACGACAAGCGCTGAGTAACCCCCCCCCGGTTAAAACTCCTAATGAACTTCCCATGGTCACCGAGTGATACTCATCGGCTGCTAAACGCTTGCTGAGTATCCTGCCCCTTACAGAAGGTCGAACAACATACGAACTAGACTAACCACCATCGGCTACTATAAGCACAATATTTCACGTTGACCCATTGATCATGTCCACCTTCCCACACAAGCTCGCAAACGCTCAAAATGCCGACAGCAGGCTGCCCTCCAGCGCATTTGCAGGGAGAGATGAGTTCACCATCCTCGCTGCCTGGCTCCCCCAGAAATTTGTCGTAGAAGTACGGCCTTCCTTGCTTTTGAAACCAATCCGAAAGGGGGGTGGGATGAGGGTTTGGGATTAGGATTGGGATTGGGGGGGGGGTTAGGGGGTTCCTCCCGTCTCCAAAGACATCTTCTTACTGTTTGGGTGTCCAGCTCACTTGACCTCACCGCCGATTTTTTGGTACCGAAACCAAAAGCACGCGAAGAGCATCAGCACCCATCCCTTGGATCGCTGCTTTCGGCCGAGAGCTCCCGCCTCCGAAGCAATATCGACAGATGATCTCCTCCTGGGGCAAAAAAGACTGAAAACCCGGGGATGATGTCAGTGAGGAGGTTGATCATGAACCTTTTCTCCAGGACAAGATTCAATTGACTTCAATTCCAGACAACTTAGACTAGAGGAAGACTACTGGAAGCAAGTCAATTGATCTCAATCAATTCCAGCCCAAGACTACTGGAACCACATTCTGTAGGGAGATCAAGTCTCAATAGCACGCCATACCCCTCGCAGAATGGATCATAGGCCTGCAGAATGGATCATCTATCATGAGAAGCCAGGCGAAATCAACGCTGTGATCCATGGGCTGTCTCATTTCAGATGGACTCCTTCAGCTGGGTGGAATACAAGTCTATACGTCTGCTCGATTCATCCGGGATCGAGATTCTGCTCGACTCTTGAGGTGGGAGGTCTTGTCCCCCGGTGTGTGGCGGATTGTTTGGGGGCGGTCAAAGTTTTTTGACCTCCCCAACAGTATGCTGTCCATTGTCAGTGACTCACATGTACAGAACACCTGGGAAAAGAAAGGTCAATCTATCACCCATGCCATCCAAAGGCTTTCTTGGAGCTCACTCCTCCTCCATGCTGCGCTTCACGCACCAAGCGCAATTCTACTAAACCCAGGCAGGTTCGCCCACATATGATCAGAATCCAGTGTCACGGATCGGTTCCATCAATCTGGGCTGAATCTGCCTGGCGGGCTCAGGTTTGGCAAGCGACTCAAAGTTCATGCAAAAAACAAAAAAAAACGGGTTAGGGCCTCAGATGCTCGCCAAGCCTGCGCCAACTCTTTGTACAGGGCGCGGCCTTCAAGCTGTGGGTTTGAGCCATGGCGCGGCGAATCCATCGAGCCAGTGAGAACGAGCCGGCCGGCGGAAATTGTTACAGGGAGGCCCCATCGACTGTTGCAAACCGATGTTCCGGATGATTGGGGGTCTATTGGTACATTTGTTTAAACAATCATGACAAAGCCTTAAATCAATGAGCCCAAGCAAAAAGGGTGCGGATTTATTTTGTTTTTGTTTGTTTTCGGATGTTTTTAAGGATTTTGTTTTGTTCTTCCGGGCCAGTAAAATGTCGTATTTTACATCATTTTCTCGCAAAATTGACGCAGCCAGTCAACATCCCCAGCATCATTTTCAACGTCCCCCGCATGTCCGACCAACATCCCTAGCATCACCAACAAAATCGTGGGTAACAAAATCTAAAAAGTAGCTGGCGGGTTGACAGGGTCAAAAACAATGATGATTCAAATAGGAGGGCAGTTCAATCCCTGTAAAAAAAGAAAAGAAAAAAAAAAAGAAAACGAGTAGCGAGGGGGTTCGGGGGGCGGCAGACCCCCCCATGATGTTTGCAGAAGTGATGATTCGATTAGGGGGGGTGCACCCTTTCATTGGTTTTTGGATTTGGCTTCCCGCATCATCAGCATCAACAGTTCCTCCCTATTTGAATCATCACTTCTTCGAACATCATGGAAAACCTTCCCCCCCTCAACCCACCCGCTAATTTTTAGATTGTTTGCAGCGTCATTGCACCCCTCTTTGAATCAACACTTCTTCAAACATCATGGGGGGGCTGCCGCCTCCCCCCGAACCCCCCTCTACTTTTTAGATTTCTTGCAGAGATTTAATTGCACCCCTATTTGAATCATCACTTTTTCGAGCATCCAATTTCGCTAATATACACCATGTTAGGTAATCTATGTAATCCATGTATGTCTGTATGTATGCACTTCTTCGAACATCATAGGGGAAGCCACCCCCGCCAACCCTCCCGCTGCCTTTTAATTTCTATCACACCCTTATTGCACCCTTACTTGAATCATCACTTCTTCGAACATCATGGGGGGGGCTGCCGCCCCCCCCCACCCCCCCCCTCTGCGTTTTAGATTTTCTACAGAGATTTAATTGCACCCCTGTGTGAATCATCACCGCTTCGAACATCATGGGGGGGCTGCCCCCCCCCCCCCCAAGCAGAGGATGCGAAAGCCAACGCCGCCAAAGCCGAAAAGCCAAGAAGCCGAGAAGCCAAAAAGCCAAGAAGCCAAGAAGCCGAAAAGCCAAGACGCCAAGAAGCCAAGAAGCCAAAAGCGAAAACAAAACCAAAAAAAGACACGAAAACAATTCCAAAAAAATACCCCTTCAAATAAAAATGGGGGGGGGGGGGGGAAACTTCAGGGCGGAAATTCTTTCGGTTTACCTGGTGACAAATGCACCTGGTACACATTGCGCGTATGCTACAGGCGGGTCATCGTGGCCACCGAAGGTTTCGGCCGGCAGTTCCGCCAGGGCCGTGTCTCCAGAGAGCACAGAGATGCGGAATGGGGATGCGTCACAAGGGTTCCTCATGTTTGGTTTTTCAAGTGGACACTCTCGGGAAAAGCAGTGGTTGAAAAACGGAAAGAATGCCATGAGTCACCTTGAATTCTTGAAACCAAAACAATGCTACGAGATTGCCCACAACATGGTGGGGCCACGTTCTGCTTTTGACTCATTCCCAATGTGCCAAATGGCGGTCGGCTCAGTACAAATGCTTCGCCTCGGCTGGACGGCCCCTCTACCCCTAGCTCCTGCAAAGAAACGGGTGAGCACACACAGAGGCCTGAATTCATACTCAGTACATTAAGGCCATATTATATGATCAGGACCCTACCCCTACCCCAAAGACTTAGGGACTCAACAAACCAAAGTGGAGGGAAACAAGGCCACACGTGTGGCCAAATAAGGCCCCTATCAAAAGCAAAGGGCCTCTATCGTATACAGAATGTAATCCCTTCAAAGATACCTGGTCTCTTGAAAAGAGGATGTTTAAAAACAGATGAGGGGCTTTGAAAGAGAAGGGTGCCTGTCTCCACAGGAAAGTAGTACTTTCAAAAGCAAGGCCCTGTTCCTTCAAAGATACCTGGTGTCTTCAAAAGACAAGGGTCTTTGAAAAAAGAAAGGTGTTGAAAGTGGATACATTTATTTTCACTTCAGCTGCACTTAAGAAGGAGAAGGTTGTCTTTGAAGAACAAGGATTATTTCTCACTTGGAAGGGGGACATGCGCGGTTTGGTGACAAACAGTTTGCAATTCAACTAAAATTGGAGGACTCTGTTGTCTTGCAATTTCTTCACAACAAATTGGCACGACGAAGCATTGGGCGTGTGTTGCTTGCGCTTCTTCCACCTCCCCCCCACCAACAGCGAAAAAAAGTCTGTTCAAACGTCCCTTTGCTGACAAAGACGGTTTTGAACAACATCAAAACCCCCACACTTGAAGCCCTTTTCTCACTCCCAAGCTCGTGTTTCAACCAACCCAGACCCGTCGGCTCGGAAGCTAGCCCCTGAAACCTGAAAGCCGCAACGCGAGCCGTTCGTTCCATTGGTCCGACGCGACGAAGGCAGGTCGGTCAAAGAAGCACGACTTTGGCCTGCGCTTGGCTGTGGTCAAAAATTGGGTAACCCCAAAATGGGTTGCCCTGGCAAATGGAAACATGGACTAAAACCTGCGGTCCCCTGTTGATTTAATTTTGACCCATACCCACTTCTGCTCAAAAGCGATTCTGCCAATTCCACGTGGCCCCGCTGAAGTGCAAGATCCAAAGCGGTGTGCCCAATCCTGTCCGCAGTTTTCTTGTCAGCTCCAGCCTCAAGCAAGATTTGCACTATACGCGCAAAACACGCCCTTCCAAGCTGCAAAGTGGAGAGGCATGAGGCCTTCGGCGCTTGCAAGCTCGCGCCTCGAATCGCGCAACCTACCGGCATTGAAGCGTGCAACAGCTCTGTCAACGGCCTCGTGGAACCCGGCCACGAGCTGTGCGGCCATTGGTGGTCTAGAGAATTCACAAGTCAGCTGCCTCGAGCAACCAGCGCATTTCCAAGTTGCCCTTCCGTGCACCACCCTTGTCCTCGGCAGCCTCAAGCAACAATTGCACTAGCTTCCTCGTCGCCATTTCCGCGTCTCCACGCTCAAAGCCGTGGAACGATCGGCTGACGAGTTCTTATCAGCTCCAGTCTCAAGCAACAATTCCACCACTTCCAAGCTGCGCCTCGCTTAGCTGCCTCGCTTAGCTGCAATGTGAATGGGCGCACGCCGTTTACCTGCTTTGTCGGGATCTAGTGGCAATCCAAGAAGGTGTTCAACGACCTCAAAACTGTTCTCCACTCATCCGTCAAAAAGCGACTTCTCCAAGGCTTGGTCATGAGCACAGAAACCAAGAATTACCAACTGCACATTTGGAAGTGGTCTCAAAGGCATGTCTCCTCGCCGATCTCTTCACTCACAAGTCGTTGCCGAAATCTTGGGTATCCCACTCGAGGTGCAAGCAGCCTCTTGAGGTCTCCGACCGACATGCCACTTGCCACCATGTTACACAGCTCCTCTTCATCAAACACGACAACTGTGTCTCCAGACACAGCGTGAATCTTCATCGCGGCGAGGCTGGAAACTGAAACAAGTGAAGTTCCCCAAATGGTCAACATGTTGCTTTACCCCTAGCAACTACATCATTGCAGTAGCGCGGGGAGTATCGTCGATGCTTTAAAGAAACAGAGGGTGGGTAGCAATCTATTGTTTCACCCTATCTGCTCTAGAAAGACACTGTTCGAGGCCGTAGATAGTTCAAGATTCCAGCAACTCCCACAAATCAAGTCTGATAGAAGCCACGAACCCGAACGCGCAAAAATTGCCACAAGCTACCGTTGCGTTTGCCTACGAATCTTTCTACCCATCTGTCAGTCTTTCAAGGAACCACCCCGGCCAAAGCCTCCCATGCGGAACCCTCCCGTGTACTGAGCTGACCGCATTCTCCTGGCCGGACTTGATCCGCTTGTTCAGCTTGGACAGCACCCCTGGCGCTGGAGATTTGGTGGGGCAAAAGCCCCATGGCCCCCAGTGAACATCCGATTCAATCCAACCACCAAACTAGGAAGCCTAAAATGGGTGGTGAATTCACCGGAAACCCCAGCCATGGGACCATTGGTTTTGACAACCACAGCCATGTTCTCCCAGCTGACATTCTTGCCATGTTCTATCCGGTTTCAGGCAGGGCGTCGCAGTTCCCCACCAAAGAACATCGGCGGCAAAACGAGTTTTTAAGTGGGGACGAAACAAATCGAGGCCCGAGTTTCAAATCAGGCATGACTCATGGGTCGGCAAGGTTTTGACCCAGCCAGTGCTCTGCAAGTTCACCCAGAAGATCCATTGGTTTCTCACCCCTTTGGAAGACTTGGCATGTTGGTCTGAGGATTTTATATATATACATATATATCCCAACCGTTCTTTTCACCCAGAAGAGCGCACTAACATCTGGCGTTTTGCGCAGAAGGATCCTGAAAAGAAGGGAGGAAGTACCGCCAGAATTCTCCGCCCACAACACAACAAACCTCAAACAGGGTGGCCTGTTTTTTTGAAACCAAGCTAAACCACAAAAACACGGAACATTCTGAGTTGGTTGAGGAAAACAATGACAAAATAGATCAGACAAGTGTGAACAACTCGGTGGAGGAAACCAAAACACAACAACAAACCAAAAACATGATAGACCCCAATGGCTCCAGATCCTGAGTTGTGCCCGTCAAACAAGAATGTCAGACCCAACGGCTC